CCTGGCTGAACCCAGCACACTGCACCAAGAGCTAATGGAGCTAATGACCCAGATACCGAGCTAGTCCATGTCTTAGCAACCTCCTCCCCGGGACACTTCCAGTCTGAGAACAGCACATGTGTACTGTGCATGAAGGACCATGGAATGAAACCATCTGAATGGTGGAGAAGATTAACTCTTTCTTCTCTGAAACCAGCACAATAACACGTTTTCTAGAATAAGTTTGTGTATCTGTGTCAAGTATAAAACAAAGCACAGGGAAAGCAGGGGTTTTCAGGATGTTTGCAAAAGTCGTGTGAATTGTAGTTGTACATCTTGTTCTGCAGTGTTTTTGGAGAATAGCATTTAATAACTAAAAACATGCTTTGCCCTCAGGACTAGTAGCATCTTGGCAATAAAACTGAATTACCTCAAAAAATGCCATTTGCAGAATGTGGTGATATGATGGGTGGCAGAATAAAACTGGAAGTAAGTCAAATCCCCAGCTACTTGTATTTCAGATTAACTGTTCCAGTTACATGCTGTTGTCTAGCACATGTTACCAAAAGTCAAAAAAAATCTTGTCTAGCTATAAAGGGAGGAAAGATCTCATAACCCACTTCTACCCTTTTTTCTCGAAGATGAAGATTTACATTCACACATTGTGTTCATAGAATGAGAACCTCAACAGCATACAGATCATAGCATATATTTAGGTTTTCCCCTTGTAAGCAGTCACAAAAACATGTAAATCTTTACAGGATTAGGACCAGCAAAAAAGGTGTACGACAAAAGTAGAACCATGCATACTATCTAAGTAAATTTCGTATTTGTGAATGCACCTTCTCCTGGAATTAATTTTCCTCTGTCCTCTTTAACTAGCAAGATAACACTGCACAACACAAGAGCATTCACTGAAGTTGTCACTAAAACTTTATTTCCTTAACATTATGGATAAATTGATTAATGAAGCTGTTTAATGGTCTAATCCAATACATGCCTTTTATGCTTCTCTCCTCAAAGTAAAAGGTTGGATGAACTCTAGGGTTTCTGAAAGAATTAATGTTTGATGGACTACAAGTACAGGGTTTGTCAGCTGGAAGTAAACCAGTGTTGCTATGTTCTAAGATCCAGGTGGAATCAAGCCAACTTTTATTCCGCTGCAGTGACTTATACTATGTTTTTCCATTATTTCCATTTATGAGCATTCCATATGGTACTTGTTTATGGTTTGATATTGTTTAGATTATAAGGTGTTTAAGAGTGTGGCACTTCTAGTTAAATATGTTTGCTTCACCAAATGATAGTTTGTTTGGTAGAACACTAACTCTCACCTGCCTTTCTCTGTATGTGTCATTTGATATATTACAGATGTTTCAGACACTTGATTAATTTGTGAGTTTCTTTCATCAGAAAAGAAAGGTGTCTTTCTACAAGCGGGCACAAATACTTGTGGCTGATACATGGAGTGTATTGGAAGGCAAAGGAGATGGTTCTTTTGATGACATTTCCAGTCTGACTATATTTGCTGACTACAGAATTCCTCAAGTTCTTGTGTATTTAAAAGCAATGAAGTATTCTGAAGAACTAATGAGGAAACTGCGTGAAGGTTTGTTCCTCCCTTACTAATACCAAGTAGTTGTACCTTTTAACAGGGGAGACTAAAGCTAATTTTGAAGTGTTGTCTATGTGTGTGGATTGGTGGTGTGTGGTTTGTTGTTTTTGTTTTTTTAGTTTGCTCCGGGGAGCAAGGACTGGTGGGTAGTGAAGAAGTGTAATGGGAAGGAACTTATTCTCTAGCCGTGATCTTGAATGAGATTTTAAGGTTGTGTTTTCATAAAGATCTGTTCCTTGGATTAGACATCGATAAGGGAAGGATTTGAGTCAGTTGATCGAGTTTCTGAAGGGCTGCTCTTGCCCAAACCACTTTTCAGCATGAGTATAGTATGAGTTTTGAGGCTTAGATAAAAGAAGGAACAATTTCTTCCTTAGCTCAAAGATGGTGTAGAAGCATGGGGATTCCTCTTTATCTGTACTGAACTGCTAGTGGCAGGCAAGGTAATATTATAAGCATTTGTTAAAGACTTTTTTTTTTTAAAATGAAGTTAATTGCGTAAGACTAGAGTCTTAGTTTTAAGCATGGTTCCATCTTCCAGTACTTAACTGTGGAATAAAAACATAAACAAATTCCTCTTCCCCTGTAAAATGACTGTATTTAGAGGTAGGACTGCTATGATGTAATTTTAAAACTACACAGCAAGATAAATAGATGAATGCAATAGTCCGTGGCTCTTAATAGAATGACTATATATTTATGACCTATATATTAAATAGATCATGTAGACAATTCATCTTTTACATTAATCCTAGTAAGGACATTCCCAACCACATCATTCAAACAAATGATATATAAAAAAAAAATATTTTTATGTATATATATTTTTATGTATATAGTTTTTGGTGTTTAGGTTTTTTATTTTTTTAATCTCAAAGTTATCCTGGCAGAAAATACACCATCTCAGAATTAGGTCTGACTTCCTTTTAGTCTCCGCAAGCAAATAGTCATGTAATGTGCGGTATAACCCAAAGACCGGTTCTTTTATTGGACCGCTCTCTTAGAATACAGGACGTTGTTTTAATGGAATGGAAGGTAAACTTGAAAGTGCATATGGTAACCTTAAAGCAATTGTTAGAAAACGTATAGCAACATTGTTATAGCGTAAGTCATGAAAACCGCAGTCCTAGGGTAGAATAAATGTTGGGGAGGAAGCAAATTCAGGCCGTTTTAGGGCTTCTGTGTCTTGAACTTAATCGGATTGCTGTCTCTTGTGTCCTGCAGGAACAATTTTCCAGTCTGGAGATAAAGAGGAGGTGGAGATCCGCGGCTGTTCGATCTGGTGCTGCGCGCTGATTTGTAAGCACCTTCTGGAGCTCTATGAGAAGAAGGGTCGGGACATGCACCAGAAGATCAACGCGGTTTTGCTCGATTACCACCTTTGGGACTATGCTAGGGATCATAGGGAAGAGATGAAAGATGTTCCGTTTCACCGAGTACGCTGTATATATTACTAAGCTCGGTCTGATAGCTGTTGTATTGACGCGTTATCTTTTTTTGAATTGCAATTGCTCTTTGCGTACGGTGGTTTGCTGTGGATGAACCTGGACCTGGCTAAATCAAGCGCTCGTTTTCTGATGAGGTATTAAGAATTTGCGTTTTTTTTTTTTTCTGGATCTTTCCTTGGCCATGGCTGGGATTAATAGTGTAAACGCTACTGGACCACCTGTGTTAATTTGGGGTTTATTACTCCTCCTCGGAGTTCTGTATCCGTGAAGGTACGTGTGTTTGCAGAGGAATGTATGTGCGCACGGACCCCTCTCTCCGTATCTTAGCCCTCCGGGCCGCTGTACCGTGCAGCTGTTGCTTGTGTT